AAAAAATAAAACTCAGCGAGCGACTCCCTACCAATCATGATCATAAATTGCCGGATAACACCAATACTGGGCAAATTACCGTTATTCAACAATTTTTGCCCAGTATTGTATACATATCTTACATAATATTCATAATTTTATATTTCACAATATTGCAAAAGTTATTATATAATATTACAGTTTGTTAATTATTTTGCAATATTATGTTCTATTAAATTTGCTGATGTATATTTGATATAGTTAATTTATTTTATTATAACAAAATTTTATTAGTAATAGCTAAAACTTAAAGCTATTTACTATATGTTAATTGTATTTAAAATAGAGTTAAAAAAAGTTGAACTTTTATAAACAAGATTTTTTAGCAAAAAACTAAAGTGTTGCTATTTATTTATTTTTTTTAAAGCTTTTTAAAATAATATATAACTTCAAAGCAAAAAATTTAATAAACCTTTTTTTTATTTAATTTTTTTTATTTTTTATTTTTTTGACTTTTTGATAGTTTTGTTACTTTAATATAAAATATTTTATTAATAAAATTTTAAACCTACTATTTTTAGTAATATCTAAATTATATTAAAGTTTTTTGAAGTTCTATTTTACTTTTAACCTTCTTTTATAATAAATATTTATATTTTTTTAATAATAATTGTTTTGAAAATTTTGGTATAAGTAATTATTAGAAGAGTTATTTTAAAAAAATTCTAATACAGTTAACTTTTTTTAATTTAAATCTTTCTAATCTAAATACTATTAAATTCTTTCTAATCCAAATCCAAACTCTAAAACATTTGTAAATTTTATTATAAAATTTAGATTAGTATATAATATCTCTTTAAAAACTAAACTTTATAACCTATTTTATATATAAAAATGAATAGTTTAAAATATACAAAGTTAACTATATAGCTTTTATATTAATAATTATTTTAAACTTTTTAAAATTTAAATAAAAATATTTTAGTAATTACAAAATTAAATTTAATAAAATTTAATAAACTTTTTATTTTAATTTTATAAATTTATAAAATTTAAATAAAAAAAAGTTTATCAAATTTGGTGTAATAGTATTAAGTTAAAGTTTAAAAAAAAATTAATATTTTTTTTAATAGATTTTTTAATAGATATTTTAATTTTTTTAAAACTTTTAACAAAGTTAATTAAGCAACTACCAAGTTAAATTTAATAAACTTTTTTTTGTTTTTAATTTTATAAATTTATAAAATTTAAATAAAAAAATGTTTATTAAATTTGATTTAGTAGTTGCTAAAATATTTTTTGCTCAAAGTTTAAAAAATATAAATAATAAATTTAAAAAATATAAAAAAATAATTATTTATTTTTAAATATAATTATACAAAAGTTTTATTTAAATATTTTAGTATTAAAAAAAGTAAATCAAAGCTAAAAAAGTACAAAAACATAGACAAATTTTGTCTGTATTAATCTATATATTAAAATATAGCTAATAAGGTTTTTTAATATATTAAAAATAAAATAAAATAAAAAATATATATATAATTATAAATACAATTTTTTAATTTTTTAAACAAATTTTTTTTAAAATACAAATTATAAATTATCAAATTTATAATATATTTAAATTTTACTAAATATATATTCTTTAAATACATGGTTTTTTAAAATATATAACCTTATTTGCCCCAATTTATATAATATTTATAGATTTTACCTCTTTAAATGCAGTATACGTATTTAAAGAAGATTGATTATATATACATTATATTGTAGTATATAAACTATATATTTTTTAAAAAATTTGTTTATTTTTAAATCTTTAATAATACTTAATCTAATCGCAATTAATACAGTATTAGGTTTATACAACAACCATATATCACGTGACAAACGATAACCTAAAAGCTATTATAGATACAAACCTACCAGTACGTACTTACGTACGTACAATATTATTTGTACAACTACAGTATGAGTATTAAACTTATTTTCTAGAAAAAATTAGTACATATATAAAGTATAAATTTGAAAAGAAATATACGTACGTACATACATACAAACTTGGAAATTATTTTGCAAACGTTACCATTTAAAAATTAATTGAAGAGAAAATATATACACATTGTGAAATGATAAATATATTATATAATTTTATTGTTTCGAAATATACGCCAATCTCTATTAATTTTATTTATTTGAAATTTGAATAGATAAAAAAAAAGAAATTCCTTTAACCACATTTATCAGAGAGTCGTTAAACATATATATTTTCTATATACTGAAAATATATTTTTTTAAAGAGAAGAGAGAAAAAAAAAAATTTTTTTTTCGAAACGCTCTTGCCCGAAACTCGTTAGACGTTTCCTAAACTTTTTTTGTAATTATAATATTATATATAGGAATTAAGTGAATTGTATCATACAAAGTTTAATATGACTAAATTTATGAAATAATAATGATTGTGAGAAGGAATAAATTCAAGAATTTTAATTCCAAATTCGGGACTTACGAATTATCCGTAAAAAAAAAAAAAAAAAATGATACATATAAATAAGTAATTATTTTGAACTGGTGACTATTATCATTATTGTTTCATTAACATCGTTTGGCATGCAATATGTGCATGACCACCACGCATTACGTCAATCTTAAACAAGTAGTTCCGATTAAAACTAAAAGAAACATTTTAATAATTGATAAGTCATGAGAACTAACATTACACCATTTATTTATTTTTTAATTAGAATTAGATTTAAGATGCAAGTCCTAATTTAACTTATCAGCATACTTACAATGGTGGTGTGACTGGAAACTAAAATGTAAAATCTACGCCAGATGGAGAAAAAATGATATGACCAATGGCAAAATATTAAAGGTACAACTAATTTAGCCTATATGTAAGATTAGAGAATAGTCTCGTGACTAAATTAATAATACAAAGGTTAACAAGGCCACAAATCTAATGCATTTGTATACATATTTTATGCATTTATGGTTTATACCGAATAATTTTACATAAAGTACATAAAATCAAGGGTTACCTGCATCATTTCATATAGAATGAAACACATACACGATAATAAATGAATATCTTGATTTATATGAATATCCGTGGATATTCATATGATACGTATTATGTAAATTTAGCGGTATAATTATTTAGTAAGAGATAAATAGAAAGAAAAGAAAATGATTGGAGTAATAAATCTGATAAAATGTTTGAAGTAATAAATCTGTTATATTATTAAAAAAATGTGGAGATTATCAACACAGTGAAACTATTTATAGAATTATATTTTAAAAAAAATTATCGTTAGAAAAAAAAGTGAAGGATAATATTATTTACTGATAGGATTATTATTGTATTATATATTATATATATATATATTATAAATTATAAATTACTGTATTATATATTCTGTTTAAAATATAAAAATTACTAATTAGTAAGGTTATATTGATATAAAAGTAACATCAAAACACTATGTATTAAATGTTTAATTACTAGAATTTCTATTATAGATTAATTATACTCGGTCAAACTATATTAATTTTTATTTATTAATCTATTTTTTTTTATTTAGGCTGAAATTGACGCGAGAGGCAAATATTTCTGAACATGATACTTTAAATCGCTTAGCCCATATAATTACCTAATGTCATACTGTAAAGTGGGATGTCGTTTTTAAGAGTAATAACTTTTTTCGTATTCATTGAATGTGCATCTAAATAAATAAATAAATAAATAAAAAAAGAAACATGAACTCATTTACTAATCTAAATTAAAAACTTTTTATAAAGACTTATATTTAATTATTGAAATTTCTTTGTCGTGAAGTCACCATAATTGTGTCGCCATTGATAAATTATAAAAACCCAATACCGTATTCCTTTTTTTTTCTAAACGTGAAAACCTTTTTGAAATTTTAAAAATGAATCAATCTCAACCTTCAATACCTCAACCTCTGGTCCCTCAACCTTTGATACCTCAATCTTTAATACCTCTGGTACCTCAACCTTTGATACCTCAACCTTTAATACCTCTGGTACCTCAACCTTTGATACCTCAACCTTTAACACCACAACCTCTGGTACCTCAACCGTTAATACCTCAAAACGCTGTAAATTCATCATTTGATAATCTTAGTGCTGAAAAAAAATATGAAAATTTAACTAAAGGTACAACAGATCCATTCAACACCAGAACACAAGAAACA